CACAGGTTTTGTTAGAACCAGGTGTTCTTTTTAATCAGTAACGGGTATCACAATATGCCTAGAATAGGTCAATGTACCCTAATATTATATAGATCTTTCATTTATATGAAGCACTAAGATTGAGTGTATGTCTGTGTTTTAAGTGCTATGTAAATAATACTTTTTAACTTACTTTGGAAATGGGGAGGACTACATTCCTTTACTCCTTAAAAAATTATGAAATTCAAATAGTGTGAAAGGTGGAATGTGTGCTTAAACATGTCATTGTTTACTTAATGCATAAAAGCTTATATTGGAGAAGAGTCCCACTCCCATTGTATTGAAAAAAAAAGAAGAAGAGTTCTAGCTATGGAAATCCAAATCCAGAGCTAGGGTTGAATATAATCCCAAATACTCTTTGGGAACACAGCTTGCAAAATAATAATATGGCTTAATACCTACTCATAGCCTCAGTGACCTAAAAACTTACTAGAAATGGTCAAATAAAGTTCTACTGTTGTCATGAATGCCTGTGAATGGTCATGAGGACAGCAACCTCACTATCAATCATTCAGCTATTTAAAAAAATCAGTCTTGCATGCAGATTGCCTCACTTTTCTTTGAAGAACTCTTGTACCACCCATATTTATAGATAACTATTAAAATAAGGGCAAACATTGTATATTGCAAACCTGAATGGAATCTTTTGAGCAGTAATATGAAAAATGCAAGAAGATATGTAGGAAATTATGCTATCATATTTTTAATCTAGAATTTAGAATTCCACTAGCAGGTGGGGAGAATGGTTCTTCACACTAAGCTTATGTCTATGCTTCTATATTGCAATATAGCAATGACAGATAGAACATTGGGTAGAACCATATTAATTACACATAATTCCATTCTTTCCACATGATTTCAACATAATGCAAGAAGCCTCAGAATCAACCCCTTTAAAGATGTGAAATAATAAATTAGTAGCACACTTTAAAGCATTTGTTTTGAGGAGAAATAGTATATGTAAAGCTCTTGTTTCCCTTCTGAGCCATTAGCAGACATTGTTATTTATCTCAGATGTCTCTCGGCAACAGAGGGTCATGGAGTTTTTAATTTTCTTTTTAAACAAACCCCTGGAAAAGCTAGGGTTTCTCACAAATATAATATTGGACACAAAATAAAGGTGGAGTTGGCAGCCTATGGGTTGCATGGTGCCCAACCCTGAGCTAAAGGATTCATTTCACCCATTCTTCTCAAGTCCACAGAGTAGTTATAGCAAGCTACTGTACCTACCATCCATGTAACTATGTAGAGCAGTTAACATTGTCCCATCTTGTGGCACATATGCTGAATATGCCATTTCTTCTAACATTGGTGGAGAAAGCCTAGAAGCCTGGACTGTTGTAACAGGAGCAGTAGATGAGTGGTTGGGGCTAACATGTTTCTTATGGCGTGCTCTACAATTTTGAAACCATACCTGTAAATGGAAAAAAAAATAACAATATTGTTAGTTGTTAGACATTTATTTTCATGCTAAACAGATGAATTAAAAAATAACTTCAGCGTATCAGTTGCTTCTTCCTCTTCTTCTTGTATGGTGTCACTAATTTCAGATAGAATCCAGTTAATAATCTTATACATATTTTTCCCTCTAATTGTATATACACAATACTGAAGATATGAGTTCTATGCAAAGTTATGGTATCAACATTCACAATCATTAATTATTGCTTGCATTGCTGGTGGCAAATACAGATAGCCATAAGTCATATTGCTTCAGTAGTGTGGAAGCATTTGATAGGAAACATTAGCTATGTATTTCCCTCTTGGAAAAAAAATATGTGTTTTTGAACTATTATAAGCTATTATACATTATTTTAGCTAAAAATATACTGGATTTTTTTTTGCTTTATGTAACTTGGGAACTTTGGTCATAATACTTGTGAAGTAACTGCAGTACAGTTACCTGTATCACACGCCTGCTCAAGCCTGTTCTTTCTGCCAGTTTTTGCAGTGTTTGTGCATCTGGATTGTTGTCCTGAGCAAACTGTGCTTGCATTACCTGGAAAATGCAAGAAGTATTTTTTAAAAAAAAATTAATGTATTTTGTGACATACTGGCAAAGACTGCATAAATAATCAAGAAGCAGTCATGTTGCAGCCTCAATAGTAGTTTTGAAGGAAAAGGCACTAGATCAGATTTAGCCTGAATTCTAGGAACGTTACTGAAAAATCAAAGCAAAATTATGCTATTTGTCATTGAAATACGTCCAATGCAAAGTTATCATAAGGCCATTTAATCATGTCTATGTAACATATTCACTATGTGAAATGGTGAAATGTTAACTTCTACTTGTGCTTTATCAGGCCAAAATATAAGAATCCTACAAAGAGAGGTTTCATAAAACATAGCCATTTGTCTCTTCCCTAATTCCTTCATTTCCAATTAGCTTTGGAATTCTTATACTGTTTTTTATTAATAGCTTGCCAATAGCATAAACAAGTCATATGGTAAAGTTGATTATATAACTATACAGAAAGGATAATTATTCCTATTGTTTTAAAAAATTCACGTGTCATTTAGTGATATAGTGCAGAGACATTTCAGAAGGTTTCCAGTTTTCACTGAATCTTACATTAAAGAGACCAATTCAGCCGGCTGTAACTGCAAATAGGTCACATGAAACATGGAGCTATTGCTAAAACTCTCACCTGGAGCATGACATGTGACAGTCACCTAAATGGTCCAAAATGTATATGAATAATAGGTTGGATTCAGGATTTACCCCAAAGTGCCGTATACTAAGCCATTTTAGTATGTCAACTTTCTTGTGTTCCATAAGTAAGATTCTAAAACACATACTTTCACATAAGAAAAAATAACTAAATAAAATATACTGGAAATAGCTCTTGCCAACTGTAAAATTTTCCCATGAATTTTCAGTTAAGGTCCTCCTTTTTTGGCTCTTCACTTTCTTTATTCTTGCTTTATTGCTTTGATGGTACTTTAACTTGTTTTAAATACATGGTAAACTACTGTTAGTGCACATTTTGTTAAAAGAGGTGGGCTTTAAATTTTAATCTAAATAAAAGCATTTAATTTAAATGTTAAATACATATCCTATGTATATTGACATGATTAAAATTAATGTCTGAAACACTGATAATACTTAGATTAAAATGCACAAACAACAACTAAAGAAAGCTCCTAAAAGGATGACAGCATTGTAGTGGCCAATGCAACAGAGGGTTGATTAAGCAAATATTCCTAGCCATTAAATCAGAGAACGCTGTGACCCTCTTCTTCAGAAGGTACTGGCAAGAACAGCTTATAAAGCAGAAAATGGGGAAAGAAGAATGCTAAAACATGTTAAGTTTCCGGTTTATCTACAACAAAACAAAGCAATAATGTAGTAACTGAATACAGGAAGAAATCTGGTTCATAGACCCACATTCTTTTGCATCTACTTTGCAGCAATGTGGTCTCTATACGGTAACCTTTTCTGAAGTACAAAGATACCAGCATGCTTACAACCTTCTGAACACAATCCGGCAGCCAATGCTATATTAATCCCATAATTTAAATAAGACACTCTGCTTGGTGTGAAGAACAACAGTTTTGATTGTCACGTACTGTGGCATTTATATGACATTGGAACTATAGAAAAGCTTATGTTTCCTGGAAAGCTGTAGTTTGCAAATTTCCTAGTATCTTTCTTCATATTACATAGAACTGAAACTATTTAATCTCCTATTGTAATTATGGGAGTCATGTAAATGTCTGATTTAATGAAATTCATCAAGTAGCCAAAACAGATCAGCATTTATGCTTTTACTTTACAGAATTACTAACTGCCTTGAGGGAAATTGAAAAGCTTGAAGAGTAACTAATTCATATGAAACAGCTAAAGCTCACAAATTTATTCCAGGAACATGCTGTGCCTTGGTATTAAGAGAAATAGTATACCATTGAGAGTATAATTTCTTTATAAACAACTAATTTATACAGAATTTTTTAAATTATGCACCGTGTACAATTGTTATGCTTCTGCATCATTCCTATTCTCAGCTCCCCACCACAGCTTTGATTATAGCATTCTACCATACAATGATTCTACCTGCAGCTGATCTGCTGTGAAACTGGTTCGAGCTCTTTTTGCTGGTTTTGGATGATTAACATCTTGCTCTGTTAATAATGCACCTTCTACACTAATACCATTCCCTGAAATTAAAGAGAGAAGAAGTCCAATTGTAGCACTGGTATTAGTTATTATTTACAGATATTCCTTTATAATCAACTTCCAGTATTCAGAATATACTTAACTATGAAAATATCCATTATTTACTATTTTGAAACAGATAGTCTGGAATTTGAATACTTATATACATTTTACATATTTCATAATTATTCAGAATAATGAAATAATTTAAAGCAGTTTTTCAGAGTAATATCTGGATTGTAAACATAGTCTTTACATGAAAATAAATTCATGAGCTGCCAGACAGATTATAACATGCAGGTGAAAACCGGTTTATTTTGCATATAGCAGAGATAAATAACCAAATAAATGCAATGTTCGTATAGATAACTACTATCTAGTTCCATAGATACAACTTTTCTCAGTGGCTGAATTTTGTCAATCAAATCTACCCAACTGAAAGTGTTGAAATCAGGTAAGCATAGGTTTCTTAAGAAAAGTAAATATGCCTTGTTTTGCTTTTTTCTTTTTTTTTTTTAGTGAAGTCTTTCAGAAAATCTTTGCCCACTCAGAATACCATCACCAAAAGGTTGAATACAAATGAAAAATGTATTCTAGTATACTTGGACAGGGAGTTTGTATTTTGAAGCAACTTGCATTTCAGGGTAATTTTCACCATGGCCATACTCCTGATCATGATTAGAGGTAAAGTAAAATTCTCTAGACAGATAAAAAATAATGAAAGCCAACTTCTCTTAAGCCTGCATCCACACTACCTATGTACACATTAACTATGGAACAATTCATCCAGTTAGAAGTTGATTTTCAAAATGCATTCAAAGATTGGCCTTAAGATTCAGTATGGCATGTGACAAAGTATAGACATAAAAAAGAAAACAGAAAGTGAACGACCTATCCCACATGGATGCCCACACCAATTAATCAGGAGTAAAGGCACAGTGGAAGAATGTTTTTATCTGGCTTGTGAAATGCTAGAGGAGAAGGAACTATATGCATCTCCAGGAGGCAGGCAGAACAGAAAAGGCCTCTCCTAGAATAAAAAGGAAACTTACCATTTTCAACTTCTCTTTTCAAGTTATCCAACATGCAATCATAATGCACCCTACAGAGGACTTTCTCTTCAACCAAAGCAAATTCCTCTCCTGTAGAGAGCTGCCTTTTGCAGGAGAAACAGGCAAAGCAGGCCAAATGATACACATTTCCCTTGGCTCTTCGAACCCAGTCAGTAGAATGGATGTGCCTGCCACAGCGAGAACAACGTGTTCCATACCGTCTACAGAAGAAGAGGAAGAAGAAATGAAAGTAAGGTGACAATTAAACACAAGTTACTAGTCTGATTCTGTAACATTATTTTACCTGAAGTTCATACTAAATGCTATTGGTCTCATAGAAAGCCTGAAGTTGTATTGTTTAATTTCCATTGCATTTCATCAGCCAAAGGAATAACTGTTTTTGTACCGTTGAGATGTCAGTCCCTTATGCCTTCCAGGGCTTCTGGAGGGAACCATAAGGGAGATACCTAAGGGCAGACATGTTACTCAGGAACCCTGTTGTGTCATGTACATGATGTTACACTGATTCTACCTTGATGTAGTTGGGATTGCTAATCCCTTTCAGTTTTATATCTTTGTGCAATATAGTAACATCAGTCAGCTAGAATCCTGAACCTTTTCAATTCCACAATACTTTTTAAAAGCTCAAATGTCAAGAGATATGCTGTTTTGACCAAATATACATCTATTTTGTGTCCAAATGTTCTTTAAAAAAGGGGGGAGGGGGAAACATACACTATTTAAAACAAAAGCAATGTATGGTTAAAATCCCAAACAAGATGGTTTAAAGGTAACAGTAATTCAATTACTGAAAAAAGATATTAGAACTCAGCACCAGCAGTGAAAACCAAAATTAATCATCTAACCCCAGTAAATGCTTTGCAAACAGTTGAGGTTTAGACAAACAGTAGATTATTTATTGATTTCAGACTATGGAGTATGCCATCAAAAGTGCTCCTTCAGGTACATGGCAATGGATGCAGATTAAATATGTCTTATATATTGGAATCTATGAGAAATTAATGCTATTGGCATCAAAGTGCAATTAATTCAGAACAACATTAACTGCTGTTTTATCATGAGGTATGAAGTCATATCTTTGTTTCTTACTGAGGGGAAGAGTAGATAAGGGGCCTTACATCTTCACCTGCTGCTGAAAATGCAGGGAGCCCTATTTCCACAGAAAAATTGTATCTTTCTATTAAAATTGTTGGAACATAGCCCCCAGTCTGGATGAAGACTACAGTAGGATCATGAAGAATATCTACCTCTATTCTGATCTCAACTGGGTGACTCACTTAAGTATGGGAAAAAGAAAGATATATTTTTTTTAACTTCTCAGAACCACTGGGCTTTAAAAAAACAGTAAGAGGTGTGATATACTTCCTGTAGCCTGCTTTAGCTAACTTCCCCATAACCTATAGTTTCTGAACAATTTTCAAGGACAGCTCCATACAGAATGTTTTGCAGTAATCCAAATGGATGTTTCTTGCAAAGTGGATAGCAATGATAAAGTATCTGTCCATGAAAAGACTTAAAAAAACAGAAGTTTATTTCTGAATATTGAACATTTTGATGACATTCACTCAACTATTGTATGACTATCAACTGAAAGAAAAATGAACTGAGAATGTTAAGAAACTTTGGATGCCAAAGAGTGCAACAGAACTATTAAAGATGCCAAAATCAATGTTTACTAAGTTAGACGTTTACTAATATTTTCCAAACTTCAGATTTGTAAATTAAGGTTTCACTAATAATTATATTTAATAAATAATGCAAGCCATCTATACTTACATATTTGGATGACAAAATGATGCTCAAGTATAATTAAAACTAGTTTCTCATTTCTTTATTTAAAATGAAAAGTACAGGTTTATGCTGTGGTCATAAATCCCAAACCCTTAGTAATCAAATGCTATATTTTCACTTACTCTTTCAAATAGCAGTAGTTTATTCTAGCAGTAAAGTACTTCAGTGATGTATCTTAGTTGGTGTGGATGCTCTGAAGAGAATGCAGGAATAGTTACTTCCCCATTGCGCAGGCAGTGCAATAGAAATACTTTAGTGCTAGAGAAAGCAACTGCACTTTGTGAAGGCAAACAGATGCAGATAGGAAGGAGATAGTAAGACTTAACAGAAAACATTTTAGGAAGTTTAAAATGCTTTTTTGAAAAGCTCGACCATACTGTCAAATAGCAAAACCACCCAAGATAATTGCATTTTTTCTAATCATGTACCATCCCAAGCAAATAACAGTACTGTTGGACAATTATTTATATTCCATCTAACATTTAAAAGAGTGAAATGATGTTTTCATCGGGACCAGCATATGTGATCCAATGACATTAAGCATTTCATTAACTCTTACTGATTTTAGTGAGAAGGATAATCAACTACCACATTGTCATGTGTGGGGGCAAACCAAATAAATATTCCAGCCACTGATCACATATTCTGGCATACACATTTTTAAATATGCAAGGGGGAGGGGAGGGCATATCATTCACATTATGACCAATAAGAATTCCAGATTTCTAGTTCATTGAACATTAAGATTACCATGAATGATAGGGAAGTTTACAGGGGTTAAAAAAAGCACCCAGAATGTTAATAATCAGCTGAAAACACAGCAAATATAATCTGCTTAACAGTAACAATTACTTTTCAGTACATAGCATACCTCCCCTTTTAAATAATGACTGTTGAAGGGAATAAAGAAAAAAAGACTATGGTGGTATCTTGTAGGATGGGACACAGGATAATCTAGCTGTAACCCCCACACTCTACCAAGCTTATAGAGAGGCCAAGGGTTATACAGTTGTACTGCTTTCAGGCTGGCAATAAACACCGCCATTAAGATTAAGGATAGGGTTGATGAATCTACAGTCAATGAAAGCTTGCAATTGGCTGGATAAAACAAAAACAGTTCTGTTGCAGTGACCAGATAAAGGCAGTGGTTGGCCAGCAGTAGCATGAATCTTTCATGCTTGTACTGTGTCCCCTAGCATTCTTCAAGCTTCAATCAAATTTCCTCTCCCAACATAAAAACATAGTACTTGGGTACTGTATTGATTGAGACTAGGTAAACAAAACCTGTTTAGCTACAACCAACATGTCTATGCAAAATCCTGCTGTACCTAGCATCCAAAATTACCAGGTCAAATAGCATCCTACAATATGGCTGCTGCCAACGTTACATTAGACCAACAGTCTGGGAGAAATCTAAAGGGACAACTAATCTAGCAGGATGCAAAGTTGTCCTTACTTATCCCTATCCCTATCTCTCTCTCTCTCTCTCTCTCATTTGTTCCTAGGAGAATCTTTTAGACTGAAGGACTACATTTCCCAGTTTAAAAGAAGTTCAATATATAGCACATCATAGAGGACACATATATTTGTTTCAATGTGTCACTGTGCATCCAGATTATATTCCAACTAATGCAAATTGAGCATATGTGTCTGCACAGAAAAAAGCATTCCACAGATTTACATTTGCCATTTCAAAATAATAAAATGTACTTGAGCTGTATAGTATACCTGAAATAATCTAGTTTGCAGAAAATGTCTTTGTCTTTGATATAGCAACTGGTATGCCTTCCTAAAGAGGTCCTGCATACACTGCAAGAAAGGCAGCGCACGTGCCAGCACATATCATTTACCTAGAAAGGAAAAAGAAAATTGAAATCTGCCACCACTTATTTTGGTAATTCATAAAACAAGAGCCTTAACCATGTAAAATGGTAACAATAAAGGTTCTGACTTTCCACATATCTGAAAAGATAATGCTGAGTTCCTGAGTTCATGGTTTTGTTGAGGATAATGACTTTTTTGAACTATTTCTGGCCAGTTATGGGTTTGAACACAGATGTGCATACAACTTATTTTAGGCCTTGGAATAAATTTTTATGTTAGGTTTAATAGATAATTGTAGGAAGAGTGATGTGGCCCATATGACTATAGAAATGCTTAATTCAGCATGAACTGGATAGGTTGCATTCAGTAACTTATAACTCACAAACTAAGAAAGTGGAACAACTGTGGCAACTACCATTTTGTGAAATTTACCATGGATCCTTCACATCTTAAATTGTCCCACTACATTAGGCAATGAGCTGAAGTATGATCCTGTAGAGCCATGGGATTTTTGTATCTTTTCATGTAGAAAACTAAATTCTTGCCTCATAAGTCTGCAGTCTCAAGCAGAGTTACTTAGAAGTTCTATTAAACCAAGTAAAGCTTTACTTCTGAATAGACTTGTACAGAATTGCAGTGTTTGTGCGTAATCCTGGATAAGTATCTTTATAGGGAGTTAAGATAAACCGTAGAGGTTGGAAGCCTGTTTAGTATAAGCCCATTCATATAATTGAAACAGACCAAATGTTAGGACATTTAGTTTATCTTTATCAAGAGGATACAGGGTTTTTTTCCCTCTGTCATTAGTTCCAAGACATTCTCAATCAACACTCAATTTATGACACAACATTCAGAAAACTAATAGGGACATACTAGCTGTGCTGTGAAATCTTTTTAAAATGTGGGTTATTTTTACAGTCAAAAATACATTTTGTGAATATAAATATGAAAATATAAGGCAAATCTACTTTCTGAGTAATAGAGGTAATAGAACCACCATACTAAGATGCCATGAAATAGTTTGGTAGTAACATAATTTCAATAAGCAAAAATTATTTTTTCAAGCCACACTGTATGATTTCTTAGAACTGAAATTCTGAAGTGCCTTTAACCTTAAATCAAAATGTCAGCATAATATACTCATACTGGGTAAAGACAATATAAATACAAGGGATATCTAAATAGTATTGCTTAAATCTCAAAACAGTAAAATCAGTGTTAATGATGTGGAATGAAACTTGTCTGCTAACTGGACAAATATATTTTCCTGCTAGAAAATTTTATCAATATGTTATAGTTTAATAATTTTAAGTTACACCACTAGGAACTGGGAAATAATATTTATACAGCTTTCTGAATGTCTGGAACCTAAGTCATATCATTAAATAATACCAAACACCCCATTAGAAATCAAAAGAATCTCAAGGCTTCCTTAATGCTGCTAGCAGTTTAGAAATAAAACATGCAGGGGCCAGAAGAAGTTAGTAGTATTCATATATGTAGTGTTCTTTACAAGTTTATACTTGCATTTCAACTTTCAAGAGTTAAATGTAGCACTTTTGATAGTGCAGCCTTGCCCAACATCAATGCACTTGATTACAATTTCCAGAACGTTTGCTGGAAAATTTTGGAATTGCACTCAACACATTAGGAGAGTTTGCTTTGTAGTTAACAATAATAAAATTCTTTTGTTTACAGAGAATCAGCTCCCATCTTGTATTTCCCAAATTCAAGTGTTGCCCAGTTTTTTTTTTTAAAGTGGGTAAATCAGAACACTACAAAAACATCTGCAATAATTGTCTTCTAAATTTATTGTCTATTACTTATTAGGAATACGAGTAATTTATTATTATTATTATTTTGGAAAAAGACAGATGCAGACACAGGCAAAATATCATTGGATGATTTCACTGGATGACATCTCAAGAAAATGAGTCTATATGCTTTTTCAGAACTCATGGCTATGACTGATGTGGGTTTCAGTATTTTTATAAAGTTGTTATTTACTTTTCAGTTTCTCTGGCAAGCTTTTAACTGAAGACATTTATTCTGGAGAGATATTTAATACCAAGGTATTGTAAGTCCAGTTTGAAGACTTAGTTTAAGATATCCAACGGTGAACAGAACAAACAGTTTTTGTTTTGAGGGGAAAAATAGTCTTTTCCTAATCAACAATTCCATGGAGCTAAAAAGCAAGAAAAATAATGAAAATAATTTATTTTATATTATAGCCTCCAGTCCTTATCAGCTGAAGAATTAAAGCAATTTAACTCTTGGGAAACGGCACTTCATAAACAAATAAATCTGGATCTGGCCTGACTCAAATGCTGTATTCTTTATAGGAAGCTATTGCCAATTGCAGCAATGTGTCAACTATAAAATCAAAACTATAGCCTTTTTACAATAAAACCAGGTTTCAGATTAGATTACTGGCTACTAACCCATGATACAACACACAAGTCATTCATAAATTGCATGTGAACATTGCTATATTCAAATAAAGTCTTAAACAAAAGCACAAAGGCATAATTGTAATTTATAGAATGTGTTGAGATGAAGCTCTGTGTTACAGCAAACATGTGATTTAAAAAAACAGTCTTAATGTATATCTTAATGTATAATATTTCTGAACCCATTCAAAGTTTAAGCTAAATATTAAAATTAACAAACTATTTTTGCTTGCCTTTAACTGCATTGCCCTAACATCTTAGTAATACTGACCAAATATGCAAGTTAATTCAAGTTAATTCAAGAATGTTACATTATTTATGAAAGGCTAAAGAAAATGACATGCTGCTAAGTTTCATAGAGGCAGAATTAGTTGAACTTAATTTCCTTTGAACATTAAATCTGGTTGATAGCAGTGGAAACTAAGCTCACCTGATACGGTCTACTAAAACAAAGAAAGCAAAAGGTATAATCTGAAAATATTTGGGGTTAGATCCAGGCTATTTTCCAAACTAATCCCATTGAAAGGTATTTTCTAATTACAAAGCATTTGAAAACTGAGTTACTCTGTGTGTTAACTTGCCACTCATTATCTATTAGAAAAAGAATTATTTCAGCAATACTCTTTCCATCCAAACAGTATCTATTCTACAACTTTTTTTTCCTTACAATAAACAACTGCTATCTGCTACAACAAAGCTACTGAAGAGTCTTGTGGCACCTTAAAGTCAAACAAATTTATCCATCACCAAGACCCACAGAAGTTTGCAATCTTTATTCAGCTATAGAAAGTAACTATAGCTTTTTCCTTATCTTGCAGAAGGAATATTCTAAAAAGCTAACCTAAATGAGTCTTAACTCATTTCTTCTCTCAGGCAGAGAGATTTATTTAGCTTATAGCTCCCTTCCACAAAAATTGCTTCAATGCCAGTGGCAACATCTACTAAAGCCTTCTCATTTGCAGATCCAGTGTTTGCTCACCTTCAGTAGGTATTTGTCCACAATCTCTAGACCACAACTATTACAGATGCACTTGCTAGGCGCACAACTGCCTGAGCCAGAAGCCAGTGAACGGGGTGAAGAGGATGGCGATAGCGGGGTGGAAGAAGAGCAAGAATCCTCATCTGCCACCACCTCTGGGCTCACCTGTCACAGAGACACAAGTACAGGTCTGTCATCAGTGAGACTTGGTTCCTTTTTCCTGCAGATCTCCTTGAGTCCATGTCTTGGGGAAGGCTCCTTTGAAGCCTTTCCCTACTTAAATTTAATTATGACACAAACATGATTGGGGACGTCTTTTTTTCTGCTATGTCCCACAATGCTGCTTTCATCTCATCTTAAGCCACCCTTAAAGCAGTAATGCTCCCCCTTAAGCCAACACCACGGAAGGGCAGTCTCAAAGTATCCAAATCCATTAGGGAAGTCAGGTGATTGTGACAACTGGGGACAGAGGTAATAGAGGCATAAGAGGTTGGGGAAAGCAAATTTCATGTGGGTGAGCTTCAAACCACCTTGGCCAGAGGGCCATCTCTCCTGTTACTCTCCATGAACACCAGGAACTTTGCTTCATTCAGCTTCTGTAACAACCGAATGTTGTTCCTTTGGTGTCATCCTCAAGTTCAGACTCAGAGCCGCCCCTCCCTCAGGAAGACAAAGAAGGGGGTCGCTTGGCCCCTCAGCCACCCAATCAGCTTCCTCACCAAATCAGGCGGGAATTCGAACCTGTGAGCCGTCCGGCAGTGACCTCCTGGCGCACCCCGCCGCCGCCTGTCCACAGGCATCACTCCGAGGGCGCTTCTAGGCCAGCTGTCTCTCCAGGAAAGCTCCCGCCAACCGATACCCCCGACTTCTTGTGTTTAATCGACGCCCTCACAACTCCCCCCCCCCCGCCGCCTTCCCTAAATAGTCCTCTTTTTTCTTCAGTGGTACATGAGAGCCTCTTACCAGCCCCGTGTCTCCGGCGCTTTTCCGCCTCCTTCCAGTCACTGCAGCAGCGGCCGCCACTCGCTCACACTCCTCAGCCATGAGCTTCGGAAACTGCAAAAGAGAGACCAGACCGCTGAGCGCATCGAAGAGCGTCCAGGAATTGAGGCTAGGCTTCGTTTCCCGTGTGTGTGTGTGTGTGTGTGTGTGCGCGCGCGCGCGCGCGCGCACGGAGATGGAAGGAAGCGGGGTTGTCGACCCCCCCCAGAGAAAGTTAAACAAGGGCAATTACAGGGCGACGCCGGCCTCCAGGCCAAGCGCTTGAATGCGGACCCTTGAGTTTAAGAGCAGCAGCAGCAGCAGCCCCAAATGCTCGCCCGGGTGCCAGCTCTGGGTGCGATTTGAATGAAAATGCCTCAGCTTGCTTAGCGCTCGAGCGGCTCGCTGCAATTAGAGGTCGCCAACCACTTCCAGCTCTGGCCTTCGGAGGTGTAAATTGCCACTTAAACTCTCGAGCCGAAGTCAATAGGCCGAGGGACCGCTCAATTCGAAAATTAAAACACACACAACCCACAGGAAAATGGAAATGGAGAGTCGCATGAAAGGAAAAGAATTGAAACCAGCCAGCTGAATTTAATTGGGGCGTCATTAAGAACAATTAGTCCTTCGGTCAACTGGAGGGAGGGGTGCGCATTTAAGGGTGCTTGACGCGGCGAGGCTGAGGCGGAGCAAGAGAGGCGCCGCGTCCAGGCTCTTTCGGCCTCCCTCAGCAACCCGCTCGGGGCCGAACAAAGCAGCCTCAGCCCTCGTTCGGAATCTCCCTTATTAGCTACACTGAAACCCAGTTCAAATTAGTCAGCGGTTGCCTCAGGGCCACCTCACTCGGATAAGTGACCGCCTAACCCCACCAGAGCGTTAAAGAGACAGGTCCTGGGGCAGCCTCAGCCACAAACGGGCTGAGGAAGTCTAGCTTAGCTATCCCCAGTCTGGAAGAGTTACCAAAGCGAAATGGCCAAGGCGAATACAAAACTCAAAGGGATAACTCCTGGGTAGGAGAGCTGGTTTTGAGAGTTCTTTTCCGCCTTGATAACTTCACGATGACTGCCTAACACCAATCAACTTGCTTGCCACCCTCTTTCAGGTTTTTTTTTCAAAAAGGGCCTCCATAATTCAGTGGGACTCGTTTCCACGTGCCCCTAGTAAAAACCGGAGATTTTAATTTTTCTGTTACCTGCGTTGGCTCTACGGGCAGCAGGAACTCGACTGGAAGGGCAGGAAAGTCACCCGCAGGGGATACGAACCCGAGATCACTTAAATATTCTTTTCTAAAAATGGAATCAGTTCAATTGATCTGGCGTCAGTCTGGCCAAATTAACGCGTTATGTCTTTACTAATTGGCTCCGGATCAAACGACGACTGAAGTGAAAGTTTCAATTCGCTGACACAGCTAGTAAATGAAAAAACTACTATGAAAAATTATTAATAAGGTCCGTGATATCACTTACCCCGGATTAGTCCCATGGAAGACAAAATAATGACTTTAGGATTCTGGCTCTGGCTTGTTGATTGCCGGGAAATGTACTTAAAAACCAATGAAGCCTGCTTGCTAGATTTTATTGCCTTAAGTAGTTCGAAGCCAGGAAACAACAAACAATCCTCAAGCCACACGAAGGCGTAAAGTCAAGGGACTACTCCAGAGTAAGTGGTTGAAGCGGCGGCAGTCCTCTATCCTAAATATTCGATTAATTTAGATTTCCTCTTGGAGATTTCCTCCTCCTAATATTTCCTATTTAACTGAAAAGTCAGATTAGGGAGAAAAAAAAAAATAAGAGAGACAAACTGTAGCTTATCCTCGCCTTGAATATCCTTTGCAGCTGGGGCCAGTGATCTGGCGTCAGGTCAAACCGTGCCAAGTTTGCCTTCAAATTTTGGAACTGGAGGGAGATATCGCGTCCACCATACGAAAGTCGCACCGCGCAGGAAAAGGACTGAGAAAGGGGAGAAGATTTTGCTAAACTGAGATCAACAAGCCGCTTAACGCGAAGTAGTTTCATTGAAAAACATGAAATTACTCCGGAGCAAAGGGCATATTGCAGCTGGGAAAGGTGCGGTAAATTCGAATCCACTCCGGTTTACACAGAGCTCCGGGCAGGAAGGCGATCTGCTTAATAAAACGCCCGGCTCACCTTCTCCGTCGCGAGACGAAGCGCAGGCACGTCCTTGTCCAGTTTACACACAAACATCTGGCTGCTCTTCCAATACATGGCCCAGGGCTAGGAGCGCTCCTCGCATACCACCTCCCCCTGCACGGAAAAAGCTTCTCCGAAGTCCACCGGGGCGAAACCAAGCGCCTGAGCCGCCCGATCTCCTCTTCCCAGGCCTGGGGTCTGCGCCACTTCCCGCGAGCCTCTTCCTAAGCGCTCTGCTCTACTTCACTGAGGTCAGACCCTGGAGGAAAAAAAAGTTTTGCTTTCAAGTGGGTGGACCCTCCAAAGAGGGAGCGCGCCTCTTGGCTGGCTGCTGGAGCCTCACCTCCTGGCGTAAAACCCGCCTTCTAGCCGCGGCCAGATCGCTATCGCGACAAAGCGAAAATAGTCGCTCTGGGGAGAGGATTTTTCGGGTGTTTTGGTTTTTTTTTAAAGGGGAAGGGGCACAAAGGCAGGAGTAGGTTAACTTTGAATTACCCACAACGGCCGCTTTCCCCCTCCCCCGTTTTTTCTCCACTCCACCCAAACCCCCAGCGTTTCATCTGCCCTGAAGCGCAAGCGAAAGCCACGGAGGACGGCGCGGGCGTTTAAGCATCTTTGTTCCCCGCTACTTTCTCAGGCCGAGCGAGGCTGGACGAGAGCGGAGCCGGGCCTTGGACCAGACGCTGCTGGGCGTGCGGCCCTGATAAAAGCGCTCTCATTAAGGGGGAAAGCGAGAACATCTGAGCAGCCCCAAAGCCCCGCTGGGGAGATCAGAGGCGGGTTAATTAGCGCAAAACGTCCGGGGGTGGGGACGACAAAGGCCCGGTGGGCGGCGGCGAGCTCCTGCATCCGAACCCCGGTTCGCCGTCCCCCTTTCCGGCAGGCCAAGGTCGCGTCTCCTAAAGAGCCGGACCATCAAGACGCCAGGCGGGCGATCCGACGCCTCCGCTCTTTCGAGGGGAGCGCTGGAGGTGTTTTATCCCCGTGTCTTGCGCTCCGTGCCCTTCCCTGGTTCCTCACCGGCGCTTTCTCTCTTGGCCTTAAGATGGGAGGGGAAAACGGGCGGCGGCGCTTCGAGCGGCGAAAGCCAAGCGGGTGTTTCTATCCTGCGGTGAGTGACTTTGACCTTTCGGGCTTGGGTTCTTTAGCCGACGGCCCCTGAAGCCAAGGCTAAACAAACCATAGTTTATGGCTCAGCCTGTTCTAGCTAGTAATAAGCTAAAGGGCGGCTTATTTAACAGACCATTTCCAAGCGAACGGCTGGCTCACTTGATATTTGAACCAGATTACTGTACTTTTTGGCCAACTTTTAGAAACGATAACATAAGTTACAATAAACTTTTAAGCTTGCCCATCTTTTTGGTGAATTCTTACCCGTAACTAAGCTTGTTTAATTGGGGCGAATCGCGCTGCATCTCTCTAAAAGAGACACATTGGATTGCGGTCCTGCAGTTTGACCCTACTATTTTGAGTGTTTACTCAAAATAAACACTGACCTCAGTGAGGCTGCCTCTCTAGTATTTAAGCTTTCAAGCTCTGGCTGTGATCTTGAACATGTAACAAGGCGATAAGGCTCCTTCAAATTGTTTAAATAAAGGGGAGCACTGTCTTGATTCTTTCTTTGTAAATGACTGTTTTCCTTGGTTCGCTTAGGAGTGCATCGTTTTCTCTCAAGGATAAAATCTCTCAGTTCTGGGGCATCCTGCTTTTTCTCGTCCTTCCCATATTCTGTAAATTTTCTGCTGCCTGTGACCCTTAAGGGATGCTGCTGCCGCCTAAATGTATCCTGCAGGTTGCTGCGGGTGTGCGTTCCTTCCGACGGAGATAGGGGGGCAGGCAGCCTTCCACCGGTTTCTGCGCTATTATTTTAGAAAAGCCGACTTAAGGCACAGGGACTTACTCTCAAGCTTGTCAAGGGCTGCCCCTCAAGGCTCGTGTTTCAGCATCGAACTCAAAGAAAGCCCAAGTTGGCAGGAGGAGACCCGACGTGGATCCTCATCAGATTTGAGGCCGCCTTAGTGGACTGATACAGAGCAAGCACTGAGCGAAGCTGGCCACTGGTGAGTTGTAAAAACGCTGTGGAGTGCAGCGAAGCGTAATTCTCAGCTTCCGAGGAATCCACACCCGCTCTCCTCGGAATCCGAATTGCAAGGTTGAGCACGGAGAAGGCAAGAGATTGCGACAAGGGGCGGGAGGAACTTGGGCACAGCCGACCAGACGGAGGTTACAGAGAAGGGTTGCAGCCAGCGCCAGCCTCTCTTTCCTTGAGAAATGGCTTTCTAGCGCTGTGTTTCTCTCAGGTTAACCTGTCTGTCAGGGGTGTGTTAGTGTGTATACACACACCCCAAACACACCATTTGCTTTTTATAAATACACTACAATTCGACAGTGGGCTTCTTGGGACCAGTCCAGTCATCCTTGTCTCCAAGGGTAGCAAAGGAGTAAGCGGAATTCTAAAAGGTGCTGGGGATCTTCTTCCCCCGGATTTAAGGCAAAAAACTAGCTCAAATTATGACTCGCTGAGTTTTTGAATCCACCATTTGCAGTGCTACGACCTTCAGCGGCTAGGCAACTAATGGCTTCCGGAGGCTTTGGACTCCAACTCCCATCCATCAGCTAGTGTGGGTCCAGAATGATGAGAGTTGTAATCCAAATAATCTAGCATTGCCTAATATTAGTGAAAATTGATCCAGACTCACAATCCGGACCCTTCCTGCAGAAGGGCAGCTCTCTCCACAGTGGTACTCTGTAAATGATTTGAGTTACAACTTCCATCACACAGGACCCTTGCTAAATGCTCTCGAAGCTAATGGGAAGTCCCTTATTGGACGAGGGTCTTCGAAAGCAACTTGACGGCTAACTTAACAGGCAATGGAACTCTTTTCCCCCTTCCCAAAACTCAGTCTTTGATCACTTTCCATCCTC